TATAGTTGTCGACAATTTTTTTGCATAAAATGAAATGATGAAACAAGACGAGGATTTTGAAGCTAAATTTGTTGATGATGATTGGCCAAAATATAAAGACACAATTCAAATTTAAAGTTTTTTGGACTTGTAGTTCAAACACAAAGGTGTAAATGCCAGTGGGGCACAAATGTGCACAAATTATAATGAAGTTGTTGTAGCACAAGAATTTTGCAAAAACCTGGCATCTATTATATGAAAATATATTCCCTTGTGGTGGATGAGATCACCTTCAGATATTTTAATAATCTGGCAGTACATGAAAAGGTTGACATGCGTCTAATAGATGTTATTATAGCTTATTTATGTGGCTTATTGATAACTCTCCCAAATGAGAGTTAATTTAGTATTTTTATGATGAATTTGTTGCATAAATTCCATATAAGTTGACCTCTTTGTATGATAATTGAGCTAAATATTGTATATTTATGATTAAGTGCTTTGAGATGACTAAGTATGGAAAATAAGACAATATCCCTTGATTTTTTGTAAGAAAAGATGACTTGTTGAGTGTTTGTCTTTGCAGGAAAAATTGACGTAGGAATGTTGTAGCAGAGAAGCTGACGAAGAAATGATATAGCAAGCGCTATAGCATGACAGCGTGGACAAAGGAACAACCGAACTTTTAAAATTCAAAAGTTAGTTAAATCCCAACAAATGGATAAGACACCAGCAAGAACAAGGGACGTTTCCGAAGATTTATTCTCATCCCAAAATTGCAAGGATCAAGGACAAATTCAAAGATTGAGTCTTATCCTAGAATCCCAAAGAACAAGGACAACAAACCTTTATTCGGTCAACAATATTGGCACAAGAAATCCAAGAAGATCAAGATCTTATCCAAGCAAGTGCCAACAAAGCCCAAAATCCCAAGAACAAGGACAACGAACTCACACTCACATTCGGTCAACAACAACATTGGCACAAGACATTCAAGAAGATCAAGATCTTATCCAAGCAAGTGCCAACAACCCAAGAATCTAGGGATATGATAAGGCTGCAGCAACAAGATTCATGAATTTTCACTCTTAACCCTAAAGCCCAATTATCCAACCACTTCTCCTATTTAAAGAGGAGTTCCCCACGGATTCAACAAGCGAAAGAGAGGTCAAAAAGGAAAGAAAGAAGGGAGGGGAAGAATATAGTACCCCTCTCACGTTTAGAGAGAAAAAGGGGAGGTTCTTGGAGGAAGGAGAGATGCTGGAGCATTGCTGGAGCAAGACCATGGCAAAGTTTTCCTACAACATTCGTTTTCATCTTCTTTTATGTTTTCCAATGATTTCTTTCTTTCTTTTCTCTGTTTTATTTAATTTCATTATGAGCTAAATTGCTCCATAGGCTAGGTGATAAAATACCTATGCTGTAACATTGAGATGTATGCCTAAACTTTGTTTTTATTAATGTTTAATTAGTTTTTCAACGAGTTTGCTTATTCTTATTCATGTATGCATGTCGAGAGATACATATATGATATTGAGGAGATTGGGGCCGAGAGGTTTCCGAATCCAGACCCTTCTTGAATTGTGTGGATTAATTAGGTTAAGAATAAATTGATTAAGTTGTCGGTAGAGAGATCATTCACACCACATAGCCTTGAACTTGAACTTGAACAATTCAGTGATTAGTTTGGCCATAAAGATGTAGGAATTAGTTGTTGGGTATATATGTTAGGTTGGCCAAAAGCCCTTGCATATCTTAGTGTTTGGTTACTAATTAAGCATTGATATAGCATCGTTAAAGCATCGTTTTAGTATTGTTGTATCAGGGAAATTAAATCTGACCTATATCTCATCCATCATCTTAATACCTTTTAATTTAGTTTACTGTTTTCTTAAGTTTAATTATCTTTTATTTTATAAACTCAACCATAAAAATTAATCATTTTCTAGTTTCTTTACTTAAATAATCATTGCTTTATAAATCATCTCTGAAGGAACGATACTTGGACTCACACCTCCCTTTATTACTAGTGACACGTGCACTTGCGTATTTGTGTGATTGATTTAATTGATTGAAAATTGCACAACACTTATTCAATCGATAGTGAAATATATATGAAAATCCTAGAAGGATCTAAAATGCTTGAAGCATATAAAAATTCCCGGGACATTCGTTGAATGAAGCTTCAAATATCATTAATGAATTAGAGCAATAAAGGCATGTGTGGTATAATCACCTTAATAAAATATTTATCTACCAGTTGACTTGTAATTTAAAGATATTTTACATGCATAAAACAAATCCATTGAGTACCCCAATGGTTATATGAGCTCGATTGACATAAATAAAATATTCATTTAATCCCATGAAAAATCATGATTTTTTTTTTGTGACATATTGAGTTCAATTGAGACAATCTTATTATCGTATAATAAAGGGTGAACATCCAAGGGGAATTATAAAATTATTAAAGTGGATGTTTGGCTTTTAAACCCTTATTCTTACATTTTATCTTTATTTATAAATTTGTTAGCATGAATTAATTCTTTTTTGATATGAAGATACTATAATAATACAGGATCCACACAAAGCTAGATTCCAAACAGGATATTTATTCACAAGTAGAAGCACGACATGAGATAATAGCAATTCATGAAGAAAGTCAAGAATGTGTTTGATCAAGTTCAATGACGCAACACATCCGAAAAGCATGTGATTCTTAGAAAAAGAGGATCCAACAATATTGCATGAAGATAATGCTGGAGACAAAACGAAACATATGTCATCAAAATTCTTCTTCACTCATGATCTTCAACAAAATGGTGAAATTGATGTTCAACAAATTCGTTCAATTTGGCAGTTTATTAAATACATTACCTACTTCAAGTTTTGAGAATACAAGATCGGGATGCGTAAACTCAGAGATATTAAATAATGTTATCATCAGGGGGAGTGAAATACGTGTTACACTCTTTTTTCCTTCACCATGGTTTTGTCCTATTGGGTTTTCCTGGTAAGGTTTTTAATGAGACAGCTTCTAATACATATTTCTTCTCAATAGGATTATTGGACATTCAAGGGAGAGTGTTATAAATAATTTAATGGTTGTCCATATTCGTTACATAATCGTTATGACTGTTAGAGACGTTATGGCCGTTGGAGATGATATGGTTGTTGGAGATATTATGGCTGTTGGAGATATTATGATCGTTGGAGAATAATTTCAGTTATTATAACTTTCATGTTTCCCGAGCCTATAAATAAGGCATCATTGTAGTGTGACAATACATTCCCTTACCTCTCTTATCTTTATTCTTCTTCTAATTCTTATTAATTTTACAACAGTTATAGAAAATATGGGTAGATATTGTTATACCCATTTGGTTCAAGAGAGAGGTTATATTACATACCTTTTCAATTACAAACTCTTACAACTAAATTTTAACTGTTAATTTTCGTTAACCTTACAGTTATAATTTATTAAAAATGAATAATTAATTAATAAGTGTGATCCAATAAATTATAACCATCAAATTTATACATATCAACTATTAAAATTTAATTATGAAAGTTTATAAGTGAAAAAGTTTATAAATATAACAATCTTCCTTGATTTAGATGTTGATCATAATCAGATACTTATTACTTATAAAATTGTATTAAAAAATGAAACAGAGAACCTTAAATTGTATCTCAATTTTGGAAGAGTGAAGTTCATTTTGGGTCCCTAACAAAAAGCAATGTCCCCACTTTCGTCCCTAATAAAAAAAATCCATATTAGTCCTTTGGGTCTAAATTGAGTCTTCATCGAATTTCTGTGGGACCACTTTTTCAAAGAACTGGAATTGTAGAGGGACAAAAGTTGACTTTTTTTTAAAAGGATGAAAGTGAAGACCGTATTTTTTGTTAGGGACCCGAAATAGACTTTACTCAATTTCTAAACACGTATATGCTTTTATAAGTTCGGAGTTGGATATCTAAATTAGCAACATTTTTTTAAATGTTAAAAAAATTAAATTAGCAATATTTTGGGTATGTTACAAAATATTAAATTAGAAACTTTTTTTTTTTAATGCTGTGAGTGATATGTTAAGATCTTTTGTTAAAATGACTTTTATATAGCACTTGTCAAAATGTTGCTATTGCAATTTGCAAGGGACTCCTCTTATGAATGTTTAACACGTTCAAAAATTGACTTCAACGACAAAATGGTATTGTACCCCACCAACTAAACAAGGAATCGGGAGGACAATTGATTGACTTCACTTAAATAATGGCAAGTAACACTGATGTGCTTTTGACTGAGTTTTGGAGAATCTCCTTCTGAGCTCATAGGGTAGGAGAACCATCCATTAGAAGTTAGAACCTTTTTACCTTTGGGAGAAATTAAAAATTGCTCCTCCCAACCAATTTGTTGTCCTTAATCAAACTCTCTTGATCTACTGCTCTCAATTAACACGCAATCCAAGTAGCAAAACTCAAGACATCAATCATGGAGATATATAATTATTTCATTATTGGAGACTTCTATGTATAAATGCATATAAATACAAGTTCATAAATAATTAAACAACTGATTAATAAACTAATCAATAAAAGGTTAGACACATAAACTAGTTACATAGTTCAAATATTATCCTTTTCTTTATCGTTAAAAAAATAACTGCCAAGTACAAAGTTTGCTTAGTTGTTTATTAATTTTTTTTAGATCTTTTATTTTTATTTTTATCCTTAATTTTTTCATACTTTATTTATTTAGGTTCTGCCATTGACCCTAACTAGTATGGGATGCCACCAACCCCCTAACTAGTATGGGAACCAACCCAGCTACTTTGGAATAAAGGTGACATTGATGTTATTTTTTCTAAATGCACCTAAATTCACTAAAAACCACAATGCATTCACATTATAAAGTGAACCCCTTTTTAATTTGAGATTATAACATATATCGGACATAATTAGTCCTTTCTCGAAGTAATCGAAGTAAAACTATTTTTCTCATGAATTCATTGGAAATACTACTACAATTCATATATTAAATCGCTTACTTCATTTAATTTGATATTGTTACCTACATGGGCATGAATCCTGAGAGAACATTTTTGTGGTTGATCATGTAATATGTATGTTCAACGAAAACATACAAGTACACAAAAAAAAATCAAAAATAATGATGATAAAATACAGAGAACAAAACAAAACAGCAATGGTAAGGAGAAAGAGATACAGAAAATTTTAATGAGATACTAAGAAGCCAGTAGGCAACACGCAAAACTCCAAGCTGATAACATTGGAATCACTTAGGCAGGAACCTTCTCCCCCTTGAGGGGCTTCACCACCTCCCATGTGAAGTCAGAGTCATCTCTGCCAAAATGTCCATATGCAGCAGTCTTCAAGAACCTGCCATTTCCACCCCTTTTGAGATCAAGGTTGATAGAGATCATGCCAGGCCTGAAATCAAAGTTCTCCTTCACAATGTTGAGAATCTCCTTGTCAGGGATCTTTCCAGTACCATAACTGTCAACAAAGACAGACAAAGGCTCAGGCACACCAATGGCATAAGAGACTTGCACAATGCACCTCCTGGCAAGTCCACTGGCAACAATGCTCTTTGCAGCTTGCCTCACAATGTAAGCTCCACTCCTATCAACCTTAGTTGGGTCCTTTCCTGAGAAAGCACCACCACCATGTGCACCCCATCCACCATAAGTGTCAATGATGATCTTACGGCCAGTGAGACCAGCATCACCATGAGGACCACCAATGACAAAACGGCCAGAAGGGTTCAAGTGGAAAATGGTCTTCTCATCAAGGTACTTCTCAGGGATCACAGGCTTGATAACGTGCTCTTTGAGATCAGCAGCAATTTCATCGTTTGTCACAGTCTCATCATGCTGTGTAGAGATAAGCACAGTGTGGACACGGATTGGAACCATGGCACCCTTGTCATTGTAATACTCAACAGTGACTTGGGTCTTGCCATCAGGCCTCAACCAAGGACAGGTGCCATTCTTGCGCACTTCTGTGAGACGAGCACCGAGTTTGGTTGCAAGGACATGGCTCAAGGGCATTAATTCAGGGGTCTCATCAGTGGCATAGCCAAACATGTGACCCTGGTCACCAGCACCAATTTCTTCAGGTCTCTTTGTGAGATGGCCATGCACACCCTGAGCAATATCAGGGCTCTGCTGTTCAATGTTGACAAGGACCTTGCAGTTGTCAGCATCAAGACCTACATCATCAGAAACAAAGCCAATGTTCCTGCAAGTGTCACGCACAATCTTCTCGTAGTCAACGTTGGCTTTGGTTGTGATCTCTCCAAAGACCATAACCATGTTTGTCTTGGTGCAGGTTTCACAGGCAACCTTGCTATCTGGGTCCTGTTCCAAGCAGGCATCAAGCACAGCATCAGAGATCTGGTCACAGAGTTTGTCAGGGTGTCCCTCGTTCACTGATTCTGATGTGAATAGGAAAGTCTCGGTAGCCATCTTTAATAGCTGTAGAATAACATAAAAAAAGAGAGTTAAATTAACACCTACAAGCTAATTCACAAAGGAAAAGAACCATGCTTATAATTTTAACAGAACAATTTAACACAAACCCAAGTCCCATTTCAAAACATGCCTCCAAAATCAGCTAAAACACTATAATCAGCAAATCCCAACTCAATCCAAGTTCAAAGTTTGTTCATTAGCCAAATCTGTACCCAGTGTGGGAAACAACCACACTAGACACCAAACCAAAACCAAATCAAGAAAAATAAAATTCACCAAAAATTAACACAAGTTAAACGAAATAAAACACTAAAAGCACATCAATTCCCCCAGATCTAAATGCCCAAATCGAATTCCCACAAATTTAGAGAAACTAGAAAGTCAAAATGCAGATCAGATTTCTACTGCAGACATCAACACGGATTCCGCAACACACATTCGGTTAAACCCAGTTCGGGAAACCAGGACCGACCCAGTTGAGGAAAAAGCGAAACAAACAGACCCAGAAGTGCAAAATCCAGACTTTAACCCTTCAGATCTATAGAGAAAGCAAAACTTGTGCAGCAGAAGGAAGAACACAACACAACAGAAGCAACTGAAAGTTGAAATAAAGTAAAGAGAGAAGGGTAGTACCTTGCAAAGAGGCACAAGAAAGAGGTGGTTGGTGTAAGAGATAGAAGAGGGTAGTTGCTTGAACAGATAGAACCCGCTTTGCAATGGTTATGTCTGCTCAAGCTGTGTGAGTCCAAAGAAGAGACTTGGGTGTGGATTTATAGGCATAGGGTGGTTGGGGTTGTTGGGGTGCACTTAAAGACTGAAAAGCCCCTATGCAGCAAGATCAGGGTTAGATTCATCACTAATCAAACTACCCATGTCGGGTTTTTACGTAGATGGCTGAGATTGGATCTGAGGATGAATCTCATAATCTCAGCCGTCTGTTTAGATCAGGGAAAGTGAGGAGTTGGTGAGTGGGAGAGAGAGGAGTTGAGACAAATCATGTTATGGCCACCACATCCACAGCACAGTCACGCCCCAACGCGCTTCCATGTGGACCCCATACCTACCCCAAAACCCAACCATGATACATACTCTTGGTTTTTTTTGACTCTATGCCACCTTCCTTAGTCCTACTGTATCCAGAGGGATCTTCATGGAATGAAGTGAATTCCAGCTTCCCCTCTTTAAATTTTCTTTGAAAAAAATCAAACTAATGTACATAAAATCTTTTTATTAATGTGCATTAATAGACAAAATAACTATGAATATTAATTACATTAATCCTTTTATTAATGTACATTTATTAGATTTTGTAGAATTACACAAGTGTGTAATGTGATACAAATTTTTATCTCGAATTATATTTTTTAGGTTGGTCTTTGATAAGATTTTTCTTTCAAAAATACACCTTTTGGTATGATAAAAATACAATTCAGATTGCCCCAGATCCCATTGGGGATGGAAGAGTCTCTTCCACCAGTGGGACTGTATGTGCATGGGCGAAGAATATCTGGAAACAAGTGTTACCTTCGGAGCCCTTACACCAGTGGATGCAAGCAAATCTATCCAACAGTCCCGTTGCTATGCTAGATGAGGACTGGTGCTTGCTTTATAGGACGATTTGCTTGATGATTTGGAAAGCCAGGAATGGACTTGTTTTCGATAACAAACAAGAAGGTGAAGATGAAGTTGTTCCAATGCTTGGTGTTTCAGGGACAATATACTTCATGCGAAGCATATGCTTGAATCAACAGGCATGTAACTCACGGAAAATTAATTCTTAAATTTTATGGTGAAAATCATCACTCAATACCTCTAAATACATTATATTGGATCATCAAAGAACTTAAAATAAATCATGTGTATGCATTTCCAAAGAAACAAGGATTTGTCCTGGACCCTTTGCTTGTGCCTTTAACCTTTCCTTTGGAAGTTTGGTCTTCCTCAATCAAATCCTTGTTTCCTTAATTAGTAGGCATTCTCTCTCTATACGCGAAAAAAAAAAAAAGTTAATAGAGGATTTCATATGTTTAGGGTCATAATTCTAATTTTTAGTTTCTTTGTATATTGTCTCATTAGGTATCAATTATACCGAGTTGGGCCAAGTACTCACTCATGTAGTCAATACCAAATTAGGAATTTGATTAGGCTCGTATATTTCGATAACTTAATTTTTTCAATAATTAAATAATATGATATAATTGATAGTTAAATATATATCCCACACCTATTAGAAAATAAATTTTTTTAACAATCTCCCACTTGGCTGTATATGATTTTCAAACAAATATAATAGATATTACTTACTTGTAGTAGGAGTATAAATGAGCCAAGTCAAGTCTGACTTTAGTCTAAAAAAGTCACACCTATGTAAAATATTTCTAACCTGACAAAAGTTTAACTTATTAGTCTGATAGAAATTAAATTATAAACTTGACCTGATTTGTTTTTAAAAAATACAAGGTTTGACCTAACTTATTAAGATTTCGAAAATGGCATATTGCGCTTTATTTATTTTATTTCTTTTGTATGTTTAAGTTGATAAAGCCACAACCCAAAATATTGATAATTTATTTACGTTGTAAATAATAAAATAAAATAATGCCAATGATGCAGAAGACTTAATTAAATTTCAAAACAAAGAAAGATATTCACTCACTCATGTATTACATAATCCCATTCAACAAAAGAAAAATATTGCAAACACTTAGTGCCTGTTTGGATCCTCTCCTTTTTAAGCTAGAAGCTACTTATAAGCATAAGCTAGGCCAAACAGGTTTTGGGAAAAGCTTTTATAATGAAAAGCTCTTTTTTCTATAATGAAGAAAAAAGCTGAAAATTAAAAGCTCTTAAGAGGAGTTTTTTTAAGCTCTTATCTGTTTTTCTTGAATTGTGTGTTTTTTTTAAAATGAAGAGTGATAAAGAAAAATAGAGATAATTTTCTTGAAATATGTGCTTTTAAGTAAATTTTAAGCTAAAATTTTCATGTAATTTCCAAACAGCTTTTAGTTTCTTTTTTTAAGCTTTTTTTAGCTTTAGCTTATAAGTAGCTTCTAGCTTAAAAATAGGAGGATCCAAACAAGCTGTTAATTCTTTATACATATATCATAATACAACCACGTAAATAAAATATTAAAAAGAAAAAAGGAGGGAGAGAGCAAGAAATTGATTTTGTTAATAGGTCCCTGATATAACACTGCTTTGTTCCCTTAAAACCAAATTATTAACCAAATTGATAGGAGGATGGTTAGAAAAGATAAAAGATAAAAAATGTTATTTTAATAAAAAAAGGCAAGCTTAAAAGCTTAGAACTGAGTCTTTTAAAATTAGACATGTGACATGATTTTTAAAGAGGTATTTTAATAAACTCAAGTTTGTTCTATCTTTAAACGGGTCAGGTCAAACCAGATCAGGTTTTAGGCCCTTGACAAATCGCTTGACCTATTTATACTCTTACTTATGTACATACAACATCCTTATATATATATATATATATATATATATATATATATATATATAGAGGAGAAGAAGAAGAAAGTATTTACTCCTACTACATGATATATGAATTTAGTTTTGTTCGATCCTGGTGGATTAGACATGTCCAATTAGAGATTGGTAGATCTATGTAGGATCAAGATGCTATTCTCTTAGGTACCTATGAGCGAGATAACTTATAGAGTAGCAAATCACTATGCACTATGAGAAACGGCGTAGTTAGAGCGTGGGGTGTATGCACAGTGACAGGTAAGAAAAAGTCAAAAATTGCATACTTCGTTTGCATAACCCTTTATTTATATATGGGTTACCTGGCAGGATTTGATTTTTGGGCCTCTTAGAAATATTGGAGGTCCAATACTTGATCAACTGATAATGATAAGATTGATATCTTTTAGGCACAATTCTTTCCTTATCTCTTATAGTTATTATCTGTAAGCGACTATTGAGATGTTTTAGGTCAATAAAATTTTCCCCCAGTCTAGCAGTCTTAATGTTCGGGCTATAGTGTTCTTACCACGTCTCGGTCATGTTCGGGTTTATTCAGTCTGAAGATCCCATATAGTTATGTGGTCAAACTATGGTGTTTTCTTACACCTCGACTAAGTTAGGTTCATCATTAGTATAACACCTCGTATTTTTAAATGTATAATTATATATGATAATGTGATTTAAAGGGGTAGAATTAGTGAAAATCCTGAAATTAGAATCAAAATACGTAAAAAGGGCAAAATGGTAATTTACCAAACACGTAACTCTAGGCAAGAAAAATTGAGTAGAAGGTCTCAAATGGTAAAAATAATGCCGGAAATGGATTCAGAACGAAAAATTGACTGGATAGGCAAGTTTTGGAAAATTTGATGAATAGTGATTTTGCCGGTGTAAAAACTGCGGTATAATTGTACTGATAAGCGCAAAATTATGATCGGTATTTCTAGGAAGTAAAAATATTACGTGAACGGAAAAAATATGTAGGTTATGAATATGTGGATTAAAATGGATTATTTAAGAAAGTTTAATGACATGTGGGACCCACTTAAGTGACTTAAGTGGGTGGAAAGCCAAAAAGTGAAAATTTCTGCACCTTCTCTCTCCTCCTCCCTCCTCTCTCACGCGGCCTCCATGGTTGGAGAAGAAGCTTTGCTTCAAAAACAAAAAATCAACCAAGACTCACTTAAATCCAAAAGTGTTTAACATCAAAGTTGTTCCAAATTACCTTGTGAACATCTTTCCTTCCTTGTGTGAGCCACGAAACTGAGTGTACAAGGAGATCATTTTCCTACTTTGGGTCGCGGTTTTGTGGAGTTTGGTGGCGGTTTTGGACCATTCAAGGGTTGAAACTCTCTCTTGGGTTGCCTAGGAGTTGATTGGTGGTAAGTTTTCTCCTCTAATTTATGGTTTTGATTTGGATTGAAATTATGACCTAGGGTATGCATGATTTGATTGACATAGTTAGAGAGCTCAAATTGAAAATATGTATTAGATAAAAGTGGCTTAGAATGATGTGTTAATGTGATAGAAACCATAAAAAAATTATTGGTGAAATTGGTGGATAACTTAGGAAAATTTGAAGTGGAAAATCCAAGACTTTGTGAAATTGTGTAATTGAGTTATGGAGTAATTGTATGAGTTAATTATGAGGTTGTATGATGTGTGGAAGTGTGAAATTTGATTGAATACCCCTAGGTTGGTGGGCATGAACAATTCGGCCAATTGTGATCATGGATGGTTTGATGATGTAAAAATGGTATAGTTGATGTTGTATAGTGGTAAATGGTGTTTAAATGGACGGTAGTGTATTGTGATATAGTGGAATTGGAAGGTAGAATGTTGGATGTAATATGTGTGTGATAATTCGACCTATAAGGGAATTTAAGGAAAAAATGATGGGAAAAAGGTTGTACAATAAATAGTGGATGTTGATACTAAAATAGTGGATGGTGAGTTAGTTTGATGATTAAAATGATTGAGGTAGTGAATTAAATGAAAGTTGGCCATTAGGCCTAAGTGGTTATGTTTAAGTATTAATTTTGTGAATTGTATTGTTGATCATTATTATTTGATCTATATAGGTTGCCTCTCACGGACGCAATAGAAACGGACTAAGCTTGGAGCTTACATTGTGGAGCACTTTGTACGGAGTTGAGGTAAACCATTGGAACTTAGGTTTTATTCCCCCGTGTGTTCCGCCACACCTAGTGGAAGGTTGTAGTTGGATTTTGTGCTCTTCGATATTTTGTGAAATTGTATGTTCATGCATTGTTGCTTTG